ATAAATTTTATTAGTGTCGGACAAATAAGAAATTTATTTATCATTCGTTGGAAAAAATAAAAAATCAAGTTTATTTGTGATTAGGTTTGCCAATAATGTAATAAATAATAAGAAATCAGTTTTTTTTATTTCTTGGACGAATCAAATCACAAATAAATTTAATTCATGATTAGATTCTTCAAACCAATAATGCATTTTCATTTCTTAAGATTTGCTGCAAATTTCAATTCAAAAATTAATTCGATTTTTTGAATTCTGAATTGCCTGTTTCACAATCACGCAACCATGAAACGAGGTACGCTAACCGCTGGGAAGAACGCCAGGAATTTACCGATCCCTTAATTATCATCGGGTTAGTAATGGCAATAACATCGTAGGTGTTGGGGTATCTGGACTCCTTTTAATTGCGAAACTTGTATTTATGGTTAAATTTTTTTCAAATCTCAAATTTATTCAATGAAAACTCAGATTATACAAAGGCACATTGAACAGGTAGTATCAGTAGAGCAGTATTTGCTCTCGAAAATGTCAATTGTTTCAAACACCAAAAGTTTCATGCAAAGTTGAATAATGCAAACACCTTTTTATGACGAATATTTTGATATTCTTTCATATTTTGATATTTTTAGCCGTTCAACTTTTTTTTCATGCAACCCAGTGCTGAGTTGAACGCAAAGTTGAACAATGCAAACACACTTTAAGACGCCAGTCACCAAGCCATTTCTCGTCGACCTATTGTAAATATGTGAACAGACATGCCTAACTTCCCGCCATCGAAGTGTGCGCGCAATCTGGTTCGATCACTCGCTCGCCGTTCACTTCGACTGGTGCTGCTAACGGTTCTATCCCTGTATCTCCCGCCCTATTTTCTGTCTGCTCCGGTTCATCCTTCTCACCGAGTGCCTCTTCCAGGTCGACCAAGCGTAGCAACAATTTGCTCTTCATCTCGATCTGCTGGGTCATCTCCGCATCGTTTTCCGGCTTCACACGTCAGAAAGCAAACGTAGTCAACGGCATCCACCATCAGCAATACCATGGCACGCTTAGGTACGGCAAGTTGAAAAGCTAGTTCCACTTACAAAAATTTGAACGAGGTGGGAGAAGAGCAGCATAATCGCCGAGCGTCCAGTACCGACGAGTAGTAAGCTCACCACCCATGCGGTCACAGTGGATATAGGGATTGAACAGAGGGTCAACTTGATGACCTGGGATAGGTTCAATTACTTCACCGGAGTACGCTCCACTCAAGTCACTACTAACCTCGAATTAGATACCAATCGTCGCCTGACGTACGAGGACCAGATAGGCTTCCTATGAGCTAGAGGTACGAGGAGATTTTCCTAGAAAACGGTAGGCCGCTACATTAATTAATATTTTATTAAACCTGCTTCCGAAACACCATATACGCATTCAGATATATGTATTTTATCTGTGTTTTCTTAATATTCCCGATGAAGCTTAATTGATAACTACAGAATTAAGAAGATATTTGTTATAAATTATAAAGTGATGCCATTAAATTAAGTAGAACTTATATTATAAAATTTTGGAAAGCTCTCTTATGAAAATAAATAGATTTTAATTGCAATACATTCCAGATATGAGTTGAAGCAGGAAGTTTTCTTGCTTACCTTAAAACATTTTTAATAATAAAAAAAACAGTATAAACTCACTCGACCATGGCCCCGGCTAAAGCCAACTCGAGCCCTTAAAATTAATTTATTGTACTTTCTGTTTGCC